AACATGGGAGTTCGACAACTTTCACACACACCTCCCATCCTGTTCTTGGACAATTGACTTTCGCCTTAACACATTCCATGGTGATGGGATTAAGGCATCTATGCGACCTGCGTGGATATAAATTTTAGCGTATGTTCCAGAAACCAAGGATGGGATTATGTAAGTAGGACATGGGGGTTCCACAACTTTCACACCTCCCATCCTGATCTTGGACAATAGACATCTGCTTTGACACATTCCATGGTGATGGGATTAAGGAGTCTATGCTGCCTGTGTGCATACAGATGCTGGAGTAGGTTCTGAAGTGGTGTGTAGAAGCAACAAAGTATCTTTAACATTAAAGGAGAACTATGGGGTTAAGTCTTTTCCCCATAGTTCTCCTTAGGGTAACGGGAGAACACAAACTAGCCTCCTCCCGTCACACTAGGCTCAGTATACCGCAAGCTGTAGCTCGTGATATACTGAGACGCCGCAGCTGAAGCGGATCCCGACAATTGTGCCGGGATCCGCCCAGCTGCGTGACTGACAGCTGGCTCTGCCTATCTAGAGGCAGAGCCAGCTGTACCCGCCCCCTCCCCGTCCGTTCTGCCAGTCAGCGCTGGCAGATCGGAGTGGGGAGGGGGGAATCCAGCCCCTCCCTTGTCACAGCAGAGAGCCGTGACAAAATCGAGAGGTGAGCGAACGCCGGTATGTGTTCGCTCACCTCCCGATCTACTGAGCCGACCTGTGACAGTCTCATTGTCACAGGTCGGCTAGAACTATGAGGATGAGTGAAAAGCACTCACCTCATAGTTCTCCTTTAAAGGACAAGTCCAGCCAAATGTGACCAACTGCTACTAACTATAACATTAACAAAATTGACCTGCAGGTGGTCCTAAAAGACAGTTTTCATAATAATAATAATTATAATACAAGTGACATCCTTCTCCCCCTTTTTTTTATTATAACCCCAGCGATATCCTGAGGAAACAAGTGTCTGCAGGCAGTTAGAATTCTTTGATCTCAGTTGGTATGGCCGTTGTCACTAATTCTTTTCTACTTTTGTTCTGCAACTTTCCCATCGTGTGTAAATGCCAGTTTCCTGTTGGCAGGAAATAACAGTAGCTTGGAGGATACTAAAATACTTTCTTTGAAAATCATTCTAAGAAGCAATTTAAAAAAAATGAAAAGTTTTAGAACATAAGTGATAAGTTCAGGATCCTCAACCGTAAAAATGTATTCAGTTCTTCTCTTCCTTTTCTCAATGCCTAGAATTGAAATGAAGGGAATACAGAGTATGATACAAAAACATGTCATCAACACTATAAAGTACATCTCTAGCCCAAAACCTTGTTTTAGATGGCATGGGGGATGGGTTATTTCCCTTTTAATCATTTTTACTGTTGTCCCAACTGAGGAGAATCTCCCTCTCCTTTTATACTGGAGATCAGATTCATTATCACTGAGACAGAAGGTAATAAGAAATCCCAAATTTTAGTATTGTCCCCAGAACAAGAGGTGAAGGAAATTCATGCTGTTCTAGAGACGGATGAAGGGAATTCTCCTCACTTTTGCAGATCTCCTCTAACTTCCTATTGCGTCTCTGGGACAGGAAGTAAAGGGACATTTCCCTGGTCGTATGCAAACAGAAAAAAAATAAGGGGTTTTAATCTTTCCGCACACTATCCAAAATTATAAAACAGTTTTGGCCGTACATACACTTTATATTAAAATACTCTGAACGTTCTGATGGTATTTATTACAGGTATTTATACAGCGCTGACAATTTACTCAGTGCTTTACATACAGAATATTCTCATCAGTCCCTGCCCTCAAGGAGTTTACAATCTGTGCAACAGATTTGGTAAAGGGACAATCATCCAAAACCAATATATGAGTTATAAGTGGAACCCAGTGAGCTGTGTCAGCCCCAGGCTTCATATATGTCATCAATACTCCAACAGCAAACTTTCCCGGCCATAATTCCAGACTATGTTCCTGTCCACCTGGGAGATTTTGGTGTATCTGACTACCTTAGTGTGTCCTGACTCTCCCTGTTACATTCTCCATATTATAAGATAAATATCCAGCAAGGATTTTCTCATAATGGGCACGGCAGGTGTGCAGACCTGGGGACTCCAATCCATTTAAAAGTGGTATAGTCACAGTGCACAGGTGGTTTTTTACTTATTTCGTAGGATGTAATCTTACATCTTCACCACTAGAGTGCAGAAGATCTCTTTGTTTCAAAGTACCATTCATGAGTTGCATGTTCTCTGTATATAGTAGGTGTAGACCTTAACCCAATGTTAGTTTGCTAAAACCCCTGTGTATTATATACAACTTCCATTTTTATTTTTAATAAAAAAATGTCGTAAGATTTTTTTTATCCTTTGTGGCATATCCTGCAGGCTCTCTGCAATCACTTACTTCTTACGTCTACGTGCACTCCTGCATGGCATTTCTCAGAGAAGGTTTCCTGATGGTGACAACTAGGGTTGCCATCTGTCCAGGATTGACTTGGACAGTCCAGGTTTTAAATGCTGTGTCCGGGTTTCATGGCAGAAATAACACGGACACAAGATGTCATACAGACAGGGGCAACCAAAACTAAGATAGGGGTAACTGGCCCTCCCACTGAAAATAGTGTCAGCTGTGATATTTTCATATGAATGGGTTGCGCTTTTTACATATGAATAAGCAATGAGTCATTCTCCCAAAAAAATTTCCACATGTCTCTAGAGTGTTTGGGTTTCACTTGAAGAAAAGGTGGCAACCCTAGTGACAACAGTGGACCATGCCTGTGTAATATGTGTTGAAAGGCAAATTGTAGTTTCCAATAGAAGCCTATGTGACAGGTTTGGTTCTGGCTGGATGCTCCTTCAAGCTGTGTGAGCCACACAGCTCAGGCATTCTTGTAGTTGCATGGCAGCCTACATTGCCTCCATGCTGCTGATAGGACAGTGCAACAGAGAGCGTTGGGGCCCTAGGATGAAGAGTCCAACACGTTGGATGTTTTTCCAATAAGCAGCTCTTAATTTTCTATTTTGACTGGAGTGTAAAATTATTATTGCTTTTCTATTTTATTCTTTTGGCAGCTAAGATTTTCTAAAACTGACAAAAGAATATTCCGATTTCTTTTTCTTGCAGTTATAACAAGAGTATTCAGTTTGCATCTTCAGACTTTCCATCCCCCTGCTCTTGTAATTGGATGACTTTTTTTCCCCAAAAGTCTGCACAGAGATCAGAGGTCAGGTTATTGGCATCACTGATACTGTCTTGGCTTTTCTAAAATAGATTAAAAATGCCCCATGTTCAAAGGGATGCAAAGCTTTGTCACATAATCTGAACTGTTTGTACTGGTTTGGGTTAGCCGACCCTTGAGCAGGGAGCTTGATGATTGGATGACAGTAGTTGTAGCTATGCAGTGGGCATATTGGACCACAAGCAGTAGCTGTCTTTATTTTCAGTCTACTGCCACTATCTTGATTTTTTCCCTAACAATGGAGCACATGTACGTAAAAAACAAAAGTAACACCTTTAAAAACATGTTTTAATGGACCCTCTGCTAGTCTATATTTGATTCAAAGAAAATACAATTCGGCTTTCAGCAACACTGCCATGGCATGTTATAGTATCTGCAGAATAGAAACAGGCGGGCAACCTGAAATCTGCAATTAAGTTTGTCACATCTTTGCCGGCCATAGCGATTATATGGACAAAAGTCAATAAACACCAATCTGACCATCACATCTCCATGAACTTGATGGACATCTTGTTCCAAAACCTTGGGCAACAATATGGCATTTACCCCACCTCCTTCCAACGATAGCAGCCTCCTCTGTCCTGGGAAGGGTCTCCACAAGATCTTGGGTTGTGTCTGTGGGAGTATGTGCCATTCAACCAAAAGAGTCTTTATGAGGTCATGTTTTGATACTGGATTAGAAGACATGGCCTGATATGGACAGTCCAATTCATTCTAAAGGTGCTCAGTAGGGTTGAGTTCCTCCATAACAAACTCATCAAACCATGTCTTTATGGAGGTGGTTTTGTGCACAGGAGCACAGTCATATTACCACAAGCTGTTACCACAAGTCTGGAAGAGCACAATTGTCTAAAATGTCTTTGTGTTCTGTAGCATTAAGAGTACCTTTCATGCCTTTCATGGGACATACCTGAACTCCATAACTTTGAGGGGCTTCCACATACTTTTGGCCATATAAGCAGGCATGACGGTCAGGTTTCCACATACATTTAGCCATCCAGTATAGCTGAAGTGGAGGAGATTAATCTTTTAATCAACAAAACCGATTTTCCCCCTTTAGATACAAACATCCTCTCTGCATGACTTGTTGACTTCTTTTTTATCATGGCTTCCTATGATAAAGCAGAATTATGAGAAACCACCCAGATGACAACATATTTCCAGAGGATCTGCCAAATGACTTGTCCTTTTCCACCTTTTCCAAGTATAAATTTGCTGCCAGTTTATCTACTAGCAGAAGCTGGTGCTGGTAAGTACGTAGCTTTCAAAAACATAACAGCACCCAGCCCCAGTACTTCAAGCAGTGGGCTGGCTCTTGGGAGGAGTTATGCAAACATTAAAATGCCCTGATCGGTTCATGTCAGTCTGGAAGAGTTGGCGCTCTCAGACAGGCTTTGTTTTGCATGCTCCAGTAACCAGAATTCATTCTGCTGAAGGCAGAGCAGAACACAAAGCATTCTGATTGGTCACTAGAAACCTCTGCACTGAAAGATTATAGCTTGGGAATAAAAACTCTTTACCTGGCATGGCCCTAGGTTAGAATGGGCAGTTTCTGGAAAGGATGAGGCAGTGTGGGATTGTAATGCAGAGTTTGATAATTGGTGGAAAGATCTGTGTGATGGACAGAATCTTGGTGATTCTGGAGGTTAGATGATGTGGACCAACTATATAGGAAGTTGACATTTTTACTTTAAGGAGACCACGTGACTTTAGAATCATTTTTATTGCAAATCTCATAAACATCAGGACATTTGTCTTAGTAGCTGGAAACAGTCGCCTCAATCCAGGACAGATAGTTGCACACCTTGGTGTATACACCTGGGTATCCGGGCAAGGCACAGCCGTAACCCCAAGATACAACTCCCTGCAGCTCTCCATTGCAAACCACGGGACCGCCAGAGTCACCCTGAGGACGATAAAAACAGGTTTAAAATAAATTAATCGTTTCGATTCACGGGAAGATCTTAGAAGAAGTTAGACTGCAAATAATGAAGGGGAACACTTTTTTTTGCCAGTTAAGTAATCTAAAAACAAACAGAAGATATAAAATAAACATGGAAGAGTGATGGCAAAGTGGCCCATTGAGTGTGCTCTTTTTTGTTATTTATTTTTGGGTTTTTTTAATGGATAAGTAGCCATTCACCTAATCTTCTGAGCTTAACTTTGGGCATATCCCCTTCCCTTTCATCCTTCTCATCCCACTCCACTCCAAACCTTCTGAAGCCATATTTTATTTACCTGAGCCTTCCATTATGTGACCCTCCATGGCATCTCTTCTGGGAATAAAGACCTGTTCTCCACTGATCCGTCCACTACTGTGTCTCCTGGCCAGTCACATGATGCAGAGTGTCCTCTTCCACCTATCTTTTTGTCTAGTGATGGATGATCCTCAGCTTTGTGATCCCAAGCAGGCCCTTATCTACTTCCTGTGAGTACAGATCTGACAAACCCACCCCTCAGGGTGAACATCATAGGGCCACCTCTTGGGGGCATTGTCATGGACCCACCCCCTGGGGGAAAGTCATGGACCCACCCCCTGGGGCAAACATCATGGCACCTCTCCTCTCCTGCCCCGTGTATAATTCTGCCATGAGCCCGGGGAAGTGCCATGATGTTTCCTTCAGGGTGCCGGTGCACGACTTTCCCTCAGGGGGTGGGTGTATGACATTGTTCCATGGAGGTGGGCCCATGAAGTTCCCCCTGGGGGGTGAGTCTGACACACCTGCACACACATACACACACACACACACACACACACACAGGAAGTAGATAAGGAACTGGTCTGGATCGCAGAGCAAATACTGTATGTCTTGGGGGGCAGCACCAGAGAGGAGGTGATTATTACAGCTAGAGCTGCATTTTTTTTATTTAAGTAAAGCTGAGTAGTGGATTAAAAAGAAAAATACAAGGTTTAAATTGGACTTTTAGGGCCTATGTAGAACTATGGGTGTGCATTGAAGACGTTTCACTGGACATCCGACCAGCTTTCTCAATTCAGAATTCATTTCTGAATTGAGAAAGCTGGTCGGATATCCAGTGAAACGTCTTCAAGAAAAATACAGCAAGTCCAGTTGCCTTGACTTATTTTTACAGATACAGTATACCATGACCTGGATGAATGAGAACCTTCACAGACACTTTACTGACAAGTATTTCCAATTTTTTTTTGGACTTAGGATTTGTAGTGTATAGGGTTAGTAGCCACTGACCAAGGCTTGTTAATACCTGTTGCCAATGCATCGAAATACATGTTGCATGTATTTTGATGCATTGCCATTGACTTCCATGGGCCTCCCAATGCAGTTAAAATGGACATGTCCTATTTTTCAATATGGGCTGCACTGCAGCACAGGGACATGAACAGGCACTGTTTTTACCAGGATGCATTGTATTGAGTGCATTAAAACAATTTAAATGAGCCTGTAATGCTTTGCTACTTTGCTCATTTTTGTTCTGGTGTACGTATGGGGCATACCTGACAAGAGTCCTTTCCACCTTCCATATAACCCACACAGATCATGTTCCCTGTAATCTGCCCAGGATAGGCATCATGGCACACTTGGTCATCAAGAATTGGAGCCTGAAGGCATTGCAGGAGAACAGGGTAATTAGCTAAAAAGAAGGCAAAAGAGTTTATCATTTAGTAATTTGGTCTTCAGGATCAGCCACACATTGGCTGGAACTATGACTATACACTGTATGTCTATCACATTACCCGTATGGTATATATGGCGGCTCACCTCCACTACTCAGTGTATTCCCCCATCCAGATATCAGACATTGAGTGCCGTCCACTGCACATTGACTGGGCAGGCTGATCGCTTGGACTCGGGTGTTTATCTTGGCTGGTTTACGGAGCCGGATTAACATGATGTCATTATCGAGGAAGTAATGGTCATATTGTGGGTGCGGGATCGCTTTAGAGACCTTAATAAATTGTTCTGGACCTTCTAAGACATCGATGTTGTGTTCTCCAAGCCGGATCTCCATCTGCCTGGATATACAGTATTTCTTTTAAAAAAAGGTTATTGAAGTGTAACTGAAGACATAACTTTTTTTTATTTAGTTTTTGGATAAAGTGGAGAGCGATTAGAACATTTGCACAATTTCTGCTGACCACCAAGGATTTCCTTCACTTTGGAGGGATTTCTGCTCACCTCCTGTTGTGGACATCGGATAGGGAGTGAAGGGAAGTCTCCCCAATGGGACACAGATGGCATAAAATCTGACAGGAGTTTTAACCCTCACTTACTCTATCCAGGACTAAAAAGAGAAAAAGAAGTCCTTGAGGCGAGCATGGGAGGAGTTAACGAGGGAGCTAGAGAGCCGGAGGTCTTGAGAGGAGCAGAGAGGATGGTCAAGATGATACTTTGAGACGAGGTTGGAGATATAGCCAGGAGCAGTGTGGTAAGTGGAAAACTAGACCCCTGTGTCTGCTAAAGCCTTGTGAATTTAACATATTCTTTGATGTGCTGTGTTTTTTTTTCAAAAAAGTAAATTTAAAGGGTATCTATGGTAAAGACTAAAAATAAATCTGTATTTATATCTTGAATTTCCATAAATTCTATCCCACCCCTAAAAACCACCTCCACCTAGATGTTTATAAACTTACTTATTGAAGATGCCCATAGGATGGACTTCCTCAATGCAGTGACACAGTTTCACTCAGCCCTGTGAATATGCATTTTCTGGTGTCACCACTCTCACAGAGCCTGTCTTCTGATCTACAGCTCAACTTCTGAACAAAGTAACATCATCATTGCTTGCTGGATGCAATGCATGATGGGATGTGTAGCCTTTAGAAATGGAGATTGCATCACATCAAGCAGCAGGGAAGGAGACACAGAGCACACTGGGAATCCAGGAAGTTGTTGGAAGTGATGGACAGACGGAAGGCAGCACTCACTACATAAAAGGGATTTTTTAATGTAAGCTTTGATTGTATTATTAGAGACAACTCTACTATGTATTCCTATTACAATGCTGATGTTATAACAGGAGAGGATCTGCTGGGACTTCACAACTCCGTTAATGAGTGATACAATGATATTTTTATTCAAGGTACAATGAAATCATGAAAAAAAAAAAATCTAATTTATTTTTAGTAACCTACGTTTTATATGACATACAATTCTGTTACATTTGATTCTCATTTACCGTAATACTTACTTCTGATAGCAGTGTGCAGCAGAAACCACCCATAATGTGTTAATTAGGGACCCTCCGCAAAAATGGTATCCAACGTTCAAAGACACTTGATAACGAACAGAGTTTTCCTGGCAGGTGTAACCACCTACAATCTTATCATCATCACTGATGGGGACGGCAGCTGCAAAGATTCACCAAATGTAAAAATGGTTTAAAAATGGTTTTATCTGTCATGTTAATCTATAAGTATGTGTTCGGCCTCTTTAAAGCTGAACTCCGGCCTGGCCTTCAGTCTTGCACAGTTGTACCTGTGCATTGAAAGCTGCAGCAAGTCAGATAGAGCCCGCCTCATTTCCTGGCTGGATGTCCAGCATTGTCTATCTCTTTCCTCCCCAGCTTGACTGATACGTAAATGCCCCTTTCATTCATTTGATTTCGTTTCTTTCAGTCATGGAGGTTCAGCACCACATGTGGGGTTTACCTAGAGTAGTCTGCATGAAAATGAGAATGCCCACTTCTCTAGAATGCCCACTCCTCTAGACTGACCATCCACCCATTCAGGCATTTTGATACTCCTGTCAAAAGCCAACCTACTGCTTAAACTAGGAGTGAGGGCTCTTGAGGGGAGTAATGAGACAGAGGGCTGGGATGTTTTCAGGAAGCTATGTACACCACTCTGCTGGCCCCTTCCACCAGCCATCCCCTTCCTGCAATGAATTGAGAAGCACAGAGACCCAGTGATGATGTCACAAGGTCTAAACTCCATTGACCCCTTAACTATCAACAGGCTGGTCATCCAAACTCAACCCTTCCAAAGACCTACTCCATAAAGGCCATGGTGTCAATATCTTAGGCTATTGAAACCTAACCAGCCAGATGTATGCAAGGTAAAGTAAATGGAGGCATGATTTTAAGACTCTATAAATCCTATAAGCCAATGGGTTCTGGATGAATCATTGACAAGAGGGGTGTAAGGGAATAATTTTTCTGACTCTACCCACTATACCTAATTAAGGGTTGAGGGGTAAACACACTGGATTTTGAATTTGTGAAGGAACGCTTGATCTTCTCTTCTATGTACCTTACATACACCTTGTGATATTAGATCATTTTTCACCTGCAGTTTGTGAATATATATATATATAATTTTGACTGTTCCTGTTTAGGGAGGAGGAAGTTTGGCCAACTCTAATCCTGTTGCATATAGTGGTTTGTTGCCCAAGGACCCAAGGAAACCCTAAGAGGCATTATAAAAAAAAATCCTTATTCTCCAGTCCAAATAAGACAAATTATTGAATTATATTTAAAGTACAAAGTGCTGACATAAAGAACTGGATCTATACATACCAGCGACCCCAAGAATGGTGAGAAGGAGAAGAATCATGTTGAGTATCTGAGCACTTCTCTGATCTAAACACATTAATATAAGCTTTCAACAGGCACATTTTTATCTCCCCTGTCAGGCCACATGTGGATTCCCATGACCGTCCTTATCAAGCCAATTTTCTCCACCTTCATAGCTGATGGCAAACAAGTCAATGGGCAGAGAATGGCTTTCAGTCATAAATATGATAAATATGTTGTCATAAATATCTTATTTAACCCATTATTCTTTCTACTTGTACTCAGGTTGGCTGGCGTTGAAAAGACACAGCCAGCTCTTTCATCTTGCCTGTATTCAGTTACTATGTGCACTCCCACAATATGCAGATACTGAGCAAAAAGTTCCTGATGGTCATTTTTAGGGGCTGTGGGTAGCACAGTGTTGCTATCTGTTAACCGTTAATAAAAGCGTTAAAGGAGAACTATGGGGTTAAGGCTTTTCCCCATAGTTCTCCTTAGGGTAACGGGAGGACACAAACTAGCGTCTCCCGTCACCCTGGGCTCAGTATACCGCGAGCTGTAGCTTGCGGTATATTGAGATGCCGCAGTATACCACAAGCTGCTGCTCGCGGTATACTAAGACGCCGCAGCTGAAGCGGATCCCGACAATTATGTCCGGATCCGCCCAGCTGTGTGACTGACAGCTGGCACTGCCTATCTAGAGGCCGAGCCAGCTGCACCCTCCCCCATCAGTTCCGCCAGTCAGAGCTGGCGGATCGGAGCGGGGAGGGGGGAATCCAGCCACTCCCCTGTCACGGCAGAGAGCCGTGACAGGATCGAGAGGTGAGCGAATGCCAGTATGTGTTCGCTCACCTCCCGATCTACTGAGCCGACATGTGACAGTCTCATTGTCCCAGGTCGGCTACAACTATGAGGTGAGTGAAAAGCACTCACCTCATAGTTCTCCTTTAAGCTTGGAGTTTGAGTTATACTTTGTCTTGACTAATTTAAAGCAGAACACCAGCCAATAATATCCAGATAAAGATCAATAATGGACAATCAAAAGATAAAACAACAAAACCAGTTTCTGCTGCAATATTTAGCTTCAGTCATCTACATTTTTTTGGTCATACGTAGATGTCCTCAGTCTGATAGCCAGCATCATTCAACCCACTTCCTTTGAGCTCTGGTCATCCAGGACCCATCCCATCCTGTGACTGGACAGTAAAAAAAAACGCGCGACAAACGCGCTTTTCCGAGGGCTACCTGCGCTGTAAAACACCCAGGTGGGAACCATGCCCATAGGCAATCATTGGTTTTCACGTGTTGAGCGTTTTACAGAGCGTAGGAACGCGCTGTAAAACGCCCAGGTGTGAACCAGGCCTAAAAGGAGAAGTAGCACAGTGATCAAGTCCAGTGGATATCCTACCGCACTCCTTACAAGTATACCCCTTGAGGATGAGTGCTGTAGTGACTGTGAATGGTAACGCTCAGGTCAAGGAAGAGACAGTATGTCACCAGCACACTGGAATCAAGTGTCCAAAATCATCTTATATATATCTGTGCCTGATGATGGGACCCAAAGTGGCCCCTTCACGTTGCCTTCTTTATGACATGATGTACATGAGTCAATAAAGATGATTTTGGACACTTGATTTCAGTGTTCTGGTGGCATACAGTATCTTCTTGTAGCACATTGATGCATGGACAGGCATGTCACTCTGTTCTTTATTCCTATCAGCATGCTTCTTCTCAGCACATGAACTGATTGGTTACTTATATTGCTTCTTTCTCTCCCATTCCAGTTCTGTTATACAGAGACTGCAGGAGGCTAATGACAGGTCAAGTTAAAGGAGAACTATAAGGTAAGTTTTTTTTCCCCCATAGTTCTCCTAAGGGTCACGGGAGGACATAAACTAGTGTCCTCCCGTGAGCCAAAGCTCAGTAAACCACGAGCTACAGGTATACTGAGACCGCCGCAGCCGGGACGGATCCCGACATTACTGCCGAGATCTACCCAACTGCGTGATTGAAAGCTGGCTCTGCCTATCTAGAGGCAGAGCCAGCTGTACCCGCCCCCTCCCCCATCCGTTCCGCCAGTCAGCGCTGGAGGATCGGAGTGTGGAGGGGCGGGGGAATCCCTGCAGGGAGCCATGAGTGACAGTCACGGCTCTCTGCAGGGACATGATCGAGAAGTGAGCGAGCGACGGTATGTGTTCGCTCACTTCCCGATCTATTGAGCCGACGTGTGACAGTTTCATTGTCAAACGTCGGCTCGAACTATGAGGTTGAGTGAAAATCACTCACCTCATAGTTCTCCTTTAAGGTATTTACATTTCTTGTATTTAAAAAAAACATTTAATGTTGTATTTTTTTTATTACAGAGTTGTATTGTTTTGAGTCTTTAATCTTTTAAATTTAGTAGTTGACTATTGCACCGTGTTGGCCATCACTTAATGCAGAACGTTTGAAGTTTAGTCATACCATTTATTGGTTTACTTAATGTATTTAAGATGTTAGCTCTCAAGATGCCTTAGAACCCTTTGGGCTTTAAAAATGGATCTAAGGTGTCCTGCAAGCTTGTATCTTTCAATCTTAAGTTAGCCAATAAAGGGTATCATTGAAACTCCAAAATGTGTGCCCTTTTTAAAGATGCAAGCTTTCTCAACCCCTCATGCTCCCATCACTTGGCTTTATACAATACAGGATATGGGAATTTTCTCATTTTTAAACAAAACAACAAAAATAAAATAAAAGGTCAGCAGCTGAACACAGAGATTGAGCCACCAAATGTCCATAGGGTTCATAGTGGTATCCCATTGATCAGCAGGTAGGTGGTAAGCATTAGAACCAGATCAGCAGTTATGATGGGAAGCTGAGGCTACAGGACAGGGGTCATCAGCTGAGGGCGAGATCAGAACCAGGTATTGAATCAACACCCAGGGAGTAGCAATGGTCCAAACAAAACTGGGTCAAGAACTGGTCAACAGCTCAACACAAAGTGAAGGAAGAGGTATCAGGGCAAATTTCTAAACAAGGAAACCATTGATTAGAGTTTTCTTATAAAGGCTCAGTGGGGAGGATTCAAGGTGGATGCCACTGGAAAACATGAAGTATATTGCCTGGTCCATGTGTGTTAGCTGTAGTTACAATTTAAAGCTGAACTTGGGGCACAAAAAGGTTCATTTAAATGTATTCCTCAATAGCCACAAAATATATCAATTAAAATTCCTTTCCAGATCTAGGTATTACTTTGTGAAATTAGCAGTGACATCATCACCGTGGTACTCATAACCTGTGCAAAGAGCAGATCTGTGGGAAGGGGCAGGCCCACCCATTACAGGGTGAGTGTAGAAAATTACAGGAAAAGACCAGTCACCCTGCACAAGGAGAGAGAGCAGCAATGACCGCTCTTTATTACAGGAGGGGGTGGAGAGAAGACCAGTCACCCTGCACAAGGAGAGAGAGCAGCAGTGACCGGTCTTTATTACAGAAGGGGTCGGAGACAAGACCAGTCACCATGCAGAAGGAGAGAGCAGCAGTGATATGTCTTTATTACAGGAGGGGCAGAGACAAGACCAGTCACCCTGCACAAGGAGAGAGAACAGCAGTGACCGGTCTTTATTACAGAAGGGGGCAGAGACAAGACCAGTCACCCTGCACAGGGTAAGAACAGTAGTGACCGGTCTTTATTACAGGAAGCTCCAAGTCTCACACTGGATTACAGCACAGATCTGGGAGAAATACACAAAGCTCACGAAGATTTAAGAATACACACGACTCTTGTATGAGGACAATATTTGCGTATCTCGGAGTTCAGCTTTAAGTCCTCTTCTTTTCTACATACTGTCTCTCGCAGTGTGAGGCACATGTTCCACTGTATAAGAATCCCACCCGTATGTTTTTAGGTCGTGGGAGGAAATCGGAGCATCTGGAGGAAACCCACATTAACTCAGGAAGAGCATATTGAACCAGAATAATAAAGATAAGAATCTTATAGGAATCCAATCTAAAGACTAAACCACATTGCCAACAGTTCAGCCCATGTGTGGAACTGATATTTACCTACTGAGATGTTGCATATTTGTGCAGCTGCCAATTACCAACTGCTAAAGCTGAACTGCAGGCAAAAATGTTTAATATCTGTAGATTGGATAGTGTTCACTTACCCATGCAGTGTGGACTTAATTGTTATATTTATGTTTTATTAAATAATATCAAATATGTCTATTATTAGCCATGATGAAGGGGCCCCCGAAACGACTCTCTTGGAAACCTTAATAAACATTCCAACTGTATAAAGATTGCCATGGTATAGCACATTCCTTTGGACATAGGCACTGCCCATCATGACGGAGTGGAGTTTCTCCATTCCTTTTGCTTCACCCCAGTTTCTTACACACATTCCCTTTTCCTTTATCCTAATTATGTCTAAATGCAGGTGCTTGCCACTAAGCGCACGTCCTTGCTCCAGTATAAGCCTATACAAACAGAAGAAAAGCTGGCCGCACACCGGATTACCCTGGGATAGTTTATTGAAAATTAGACAAGAAAATAAATGATTCATGCTTGCGTTTTTATTTAATTTGAAAAGAAAACTAATTCCTCTCATCCCACCATTCCCAGACATAGAGATGTTTAGTTTTGGGCGATGGAGTCTTCAATCCAGGACACGAAGTTGCACACCTTGGTGTAGACGCCAGGGTAGCCAGGCAGAGCACAGCCAATACCCCAGGAGACCACTCCCTGCAGCTCCCCGTTGCAAACCACAGGACCGCCAGAGTCACCCTGGAAGAAAGAAACAGGTGCTTGTTATTTTTTTTACTGGTTTTAGCAGGAAACTAGTTTCAGAAACTTGGATGGAATTTTCGGAAATCCCACCAACATTCTAAGTACCTGATAAAGAACCCATTAATATTTTAATCTTACAAGTAGGGTCTTCTATTGCCTGCTTTAAGTATATTTTCACAACGCTCTATAGTATCAGTGTTTTACCAGAACGCTATAATGTTAGAGAAAAGGATTTTCTTCCAAATAATGCCACATATATGATGGGATCAGAGTATTTTCCACTTTGAGATGGCTGTTGCTTTTAATCCTTTGTGTGATACTGTTTACACTAAACAAAATATGAATTTAATTATCTGAATTTGTAAATTAGATTATTTAGGTTAAGAATTACACATTTTTGTTGCAAAGGAAGTGTAACGTTTGCAGCATTCTCTTGTGAGGCCAATGGGCTGGTCTATGATGGCCAGGGCCCACAGGAAATTAGATGAATGGCAATGGCTGTAATTGAACATTGAAGACTTGCAACATTTAGTGGCGGAGAAGAAGTACTGTGAGAAAAAGCTCCAAATCATGATGAGTATTGCAGCAAAAGCTGCATTTTTATTTTTACTTGGCCTGGACTCTTGGCTAGATGGCTAGACTCACCTTTTAATTTCATTACATGACTCCCATATTTAGCTTTTTCATGACCAAAGGATACTGATGCTTGGATGCCCAGACCATCTTTAGCACCATAAGTATGCATTGATTAACTAGACAATACTTGATTACATTTTAAATGGGTATTTTAAGGATTTTATATGTTCCATAGTTTAAT